CTTTGTCTTTGTATCCCCCGTACACAAGTGTAGTTGGGACCTAGGTATTCAATGAATAATGCTAAGAGAATGAAAGCTTATATGGGAAGAGACACAAAGGTCGAGGAAGAAATAAATAAATTCTGGAAGGTTCCAGGATACTAGAGGTTGGGTGGAAAATGGAAAAGATTTTTCTTTCTCCTCCCTCACCTTACCTATTAAAGAACTTTTCAATAACTCCATAGTACTGGCAAGTCAAAATATAGGTAGCTATAAAGTTATGATTTTCCCCAAACTTTATCTGACCTCTATAGATGAGAGATCAGCAAACTGATTGATACCATAATTATTATCTTGGTAGATGGAAGTAATAGATCAGTGGCTCTAGTTCTCTCTCTTCTGAGTTCTCAAGCCAACCCTTCTAGTCCTGGCTGCTCTGGTGTAAGGGGAAGTTTTGGCAGCAAGGGAGATTTGCAGGAGGGCAGCAGGAACTTGATACATGATGCTGTTCAGAAGTTGAGTTTAAATTACATGTTATTTACATGTTTCAAATTTTACAAATGGAGACTATAATCCCTAGAAAGACTTGTCAAAATGTATGCAGCCAAGCTGTGTAAGCTCAGGTTTCTCCATCTTGGGTGAGTACTTTGTACAGTTGATTTTATTTATTTAGTAGTGCTGGGATCAAATGTAATGCCTCACACGCGAGTAGGCAAGTGCTGTACCACTGAAATACATCCCCAGCCTATGACCTTTTTGTGTTGTGCAAGGCACTACCCATTTATATCATTTCTCTGTACTTCTTGCTTTCAACACTGTTCAGAATATCATGTCTCAGCTTCTCTTTCCATTTAAAAATTTTAAATGTTATATTTTTTTCTCATTATTTTCCATGACTAATGTGTACTGAACAATTGGTTTATTTTGCAAGTATTCCAGATATAACTAGCCTGGCCTTGTGGCAGTAATCCTAGGTGCTATAGAATCCAAGAACCCCACCTTCAGGTGGACAGCTCTGGGCCTTCTTCCCGTGTGTGTGCTGTGGGGCACATGTGAGCACAAGGGCAGAGTGAGGTGTGGAGCAGAGGAGGGGAACAGGTGGAGGTTTAGATAGTGCATTTTCAAAGGCTATTTTGAGGCAAACAAAAGAAACATCTTAAAATTCCCTGGTTTCTAGAAGACTGAAATTGGGTCCATACTCAGGAGGCTGAGGCAGGAGGATTCCGTGAGTTCAAGGCCAGCCCAGGCCACATAATGAGACCCTGTCTCAAAAAACTAGAAAAAGAAAAAAGAAATTGGGTCCGTCCCACTAAAGTAGTAACCATTTTACTATGTATATATCTTATAACATCATGTTATATACTTTAAATATACACAATGCATTTTATTTTAAAAGAAGGAAAAAATTGTGTTAAGGTAAATTCCTTCTTCCTGATAATTCAGATTTTAAATTTTGACGTTTTACGATCATTTTCCTATGTAAAAGGAAGCATTCTGTAGTATTGCAGAGTGCTGGTACATATGCTTGAAGAAGTTAACTGGCTCTTCTCAGTGAGAGTGAGCGGGAAATAGTTTCTCGGAACTTTATTCTGTATCGTGTTCTTACATGTCAGCTCTCATTGTTAGCCCTCTGTGTTCTAGGTGCTATCAGGAGAATGTTAGTGTGCCCATTTCCTGGATCAGGAAACTGTGGGAAGTTTCAGTAGCTCCCTGAAAGTCACCTGGGTAATCACTGATGGAGCTGCATTCACACCTAAGTCTTTTGCTGGCTGCAAAGATTGTCCTTTTAATAGCTACTCCATTCCCCGTATTTTCTGCTATATAAATAACATTTTCCCCCTAGTACCAGGGATCAATCCCAGGTCTCACATACTCTAGACAGGCAATCTGCCACTGAGGCAAGGACCCCAGCCTGTGAGTAACACCACACCTGGCTTTTGTTTTGTTTCATTTGGCTTTTTGAGACAGGGTCAGGGTCTCACTGTGTAGCCCAGGCTGCCCTCAAACTGCAGCCATCTTCCTGTCTCATCCACCCAAGTGCGGGAATTACAGGTGTGCACCCCCACGCCTGCTGTAGTAACTTTTGTCTCTTGAATTTTTCTCTTCTCCAATTTCAGAATGTTTTATGGATCACACTATTATTGACTAATATAACTAGTGGATAGAAGTGTCATTATTTGACTGGGAAGAGGTTGTAGGTAGACGTCCGTTTGGTTACTGTTGCAGGGGGCAACCTGGGAGGCTGTCCTCTGGCTTTTCATGAAAATGTAGTTGCCTGTATTTTTGCACTAAGGCCTTGTCAGGGCCTCCAGAGAATTGACTCTGTCTTGACATTCCTCAGGAGCAAAAGACTAAATAAGGATTTAGAGAAATTCCACAGTTGTCACAGTAGCTTACACATTAGGAATTGCCTTCTGGGGAGCAGATAATATTAACATTCCATTGCTAACTTTCAGACATTATTTTTGGCCTCTGACTTTGTTAGCAAATAAATACATTAGAATAAATACTGGTAGAGGGATGCAGCTCAGTGGTGCCTCTCCTGCCTGGCAAGTGTACGTTTGCCCCCTGAGTTTGATCCTCGGTACCAGGGGAAAAAAATGTAAAAGAATAAATACTAATAAAAATGCTCTAGAATCTAGAATAAAGGGATTCCATTTTAAATCTTACATAACAGATCTTATTGGAGTTGTGAAATCTTAGCAAAAATAGATATGCAGCAGCCTAAGACGTTTTATTCACATCTGTTCAGACTTTTCAATTTGCATTTGTATGATTCACAAATGTGTGAATCTGTGTGTATTTATTAGTTATATGGAAGACTAACTACTTATATGGGGTTCTGAAGGGATTGAAGATCTTTTTAGAAGATAAATTGGCCTATCAAGGTAATTGAAAGAAGGTATTGGGATAATTTCAGGCCGAGACCCCCACCTGGTGGTCACAAGGAGGAGTCAAGGCTTTTGTATTTGTAGTATTGCCTCAGTTAATGAATGTTTGTCAAAAAATTACATTCTTATTATAATAATCATAGACTCAAAATTTTAAGAATAAATTTTGCCATAGCAGTCTAATATTTCTTTATTAAAATGACTGTCAAATCCCACGGGCTGACAGAATGATTATCTGTGTTTGCAGAACTGAAGTCCTTCTTATTCCAAACACAGGTCCTGCTTATCTCTATAGAGCATCAGTTTGTGTCTTTTCCTCTCTTTATTGTAACTGCTGATTTTTATATCATGCTTATTTTATGTGGTAAATTTCTGTGGAATAAGGGAGAAGGAATTATTTCAGATTTTTTGGTAAGTCTGGCAAGTGTCATTAAAGGTAAGTCACTTGAGCCATGTGTGGTGGTGCACACCTATAATCCCAGCACTCAGGAGGCTGAGGCAGGAGGATTGCTGGGAGTTCAAGACCAGCCTGGGCTACATAGTGAGTTCCAGGTCAGTCTTAACTACATAGTGAAACCCTGTCTCAAAAAACAAAAAAACAAAACAAACAAATAAACAAAAAAGAAATAAAGCTTGTCGGACTAAAAAAAAGTAAGTCGTTTTTTCCCATATAAAATTTATAAAAAGGAGTTTGAGAATTTTCCAGAGTGATTATTAAAGTGAACAAAGTTGTCAGGGGGTGAGAGATTCTGTTACCATTTATTAGGGGGTTAGGGGTTTTGGCTCAGTGGTTCTGCCGCCTGCCTAGCAAGCATAAGACTCTGAGTTCGATCCCTGGTACCCCCCCAAAAGAATTCATATATGAGGTTTTTCTTTTCTTCCAATAAGTGCCTAAATAATTGCATTGTTTGGCAGTTTTGAATCTAGATCATTCTACAGTTGAGTAAAGCAGGGATGTCAGCCCAAGGGGAAAGGATCCTGTTAAATTAATGTGGATGTATATTTTATAGGCCTGGAGAGAAGGGGAGGGCAGACACAGTTTTTAATTTCAGGGTGAGCTTTAGGCCAGCATGCCACGTCCGTATCTTTTTTCCTGTTAGGAAAACAGGATCCAGGCCCACCATGTTGCAGAGTCTCTTGGCAGACTGTTCACGAAAGGGTGCTAGGCTAAATGGAATGTGACTTGGCTTCGCACTATTCTCCTGGATTTTTCTTTCTCTGTGTAACAGAGTATTTATTATAATAGCTACATTTCAACACTCATCAGCCTGGGCGTATTGAGAGGCTGAGGCAGAAAGATCACTGCGAGTTTGACACTAGCTTGGACTACATAGCAAGATCCTATCTTAAAACAAACAACTCATCTTACACTGTAAAAAACTACTCCTGAACAAATGTTAACATATAATTCTGTTTATACCAAGAGTCTAGGCAAACCCATAGGGACAAAAGTAGATCCATGGTTCCCAGGGGCCCAGAGGTAGTAAAGAGTAGAAATAATGGGAGTGCCTGCTAATATGTTTGGGATTTCTTTTGGGTGATTGAAAATGTTCTGGAATTAGGCCAGACATGATAGCATGTGCCCATAGTCCCAGCTACTTGGGAAGCTGAGATAAGAGAATCCCTTGAACTCATGAACTCATGGGTTTGAGACCAGCCTAGGCAACATAGCAGTACTTTACCTCAAAAGAAGAAGAAGAAGGAAAAAAAAGAAAAAGCCAAGTGTGGTGGCACATGCCCGTAATCCCAGCACTTTGGGAGGGTGAGGCTGGAGGCCTTGTCTCAAAATAAAAGGGTGAGGCATATAGCTCAGCATGAAGTCTTGGATTCAATTTCTAGTACCACAAAAACAAAACAGTCAAGGAAAGGAGAGAGGGAGAGAGGAAATGTTCCAGAATTAGATAATGGTGGTCATTGCCCAGCTATCTGAATATACTAAAAACTACTTTACCCTTAATTTTTTTTTTTATTTGATTTGTAGAAGAATGAACAAAGTTAATGAAAAGGTCATTGTGATAAAAACTCTTTCACTTTTGTTCTGGCAGAATGTTGCTTGCTAATCTAAATATTATAGTTTGATCCTTAAATGTTGTAATTTATACTTGATTGTCCTGTTCCTGACCCTCACAGGGCCACGATGGGCCTCCTGGAACATTGGTGTGTTTATCTGCATTCGATGTGCTGGAATCCACAGGAATCTAGGGGTGCACATATCCAGGGTAAAATCAGTTAACCTCGACCAATGGACTCAAGAACAGATTCAGGTACTTACACAGCTGAGGGTCAGCTGACCCCATATATCCTGTACCTAAAAGTAGTTCCAGATGAATTTCAGTCAAACTGGGCACAAAGGAAAATTCAGTTGTTAAACATGTCAAATTCTTGTACCTTAATAGAGAAATTTTAAATCTTTTTATTTAAGGCACAAGTTATTTTTTCTATATTTTACTTCTTTTAAAACACAACCAAGCTAGGTATGGTGGCACCTGCCTGTAATTCTGGCATTCTGGGAGGCTGAGGCAGGAGTACTGAAAGTTTAAGCCCAGCCTGGCTAACTAAGCAATTTAGTATTTTAAAATAAAACAAAAAACAGCTAGAGAGGTAACTGTGTGGAGACCCTGGGTTCAATCGTAAGTACTGCAAAAACCACAAAACAAACAAATGGAAAAAACAATAACAAACATAAAACTCCACAAATAATCTATGGTCCAGAATCCCATGGGTCCATGAAAGGGTTAAGAGGTGTCTGGATTATTTTCTAAGATCCTTGGCACTTGTAGATCTAGCTTTTATAGTTTTAGATACAGACATTCGCTTTTATTTATTTATTTGGTACCAGGAATTGAACTTGGGTCCTTGTGCTTGCAAGGCAGGTGGTGGCACCACTGAACTAAATCCCCGGCTTCAGGCATTCACTTTTAAAAAAATGAAAAAATTTCCCAACTGTGAATTTAGCTAATTGGTAAAGTACTTATTTGCCTGGCATGAGGTCCTGGGTTCAAACCCCAACACTGCAAACAAACCAGAGACTTACAGTACTATTTTTTAATTTTTAAATTTTATATATATATATATATATTTTTAAGACAGGGTCTCACTGTGTAGTTTAGGTTGACCTTGAGTTCAGTGTGTAGCCCAGGGCTGGCCTCAAGCACATTTGAATCTTGCTTTCTACTAGCTTGGTGAGCTAGGCAATACACTTAAGTTAATTCCAGCTGACAGAACCAGTAAGGCTGTCCTTTATTCCTTTCCTACATTGAAGAACTTTAATTTTTTTTTCTCATTGGGGGTAAAAGAGGAGGGTCTAAAGAAAACTAGTTCCTAAAGTTACTGATAGAAATAAGAAGTTATTTCAAATCAGAACATGGCTTTAGAAATGTTCAGACTGTATGAATAGATAATGAGTTGCATTTTTCACTTACGCTTTTCTTACTGTATATTATGAAGGAAATTACAAACTGTGGAGTTATTTGTGAATTTGAAAATTAAAAAGCTCTTGGGATTTATCCTTCACGGATGTTAAGGGATCTATTTCAAAAGTCTAACAAGAAATACATTTCTCAGTAACAGGGCTAATTAATACTGTAGTATAGAGTTAGAATTGTGACACTCATCATTGCCTACCAAGTAGACATTTTGATTGATAACTGTGTATCTTGGATTTTCAAATGAAATCTTGAATTACTACTGAATTAAACGTATCTTGGCAGGCAAATCTTTCTGCAAAAAGAACTCAAAGAGCGAGGAGAGACAGGTGTAGGGACAAGTAATTGGGAATTCCTAGCAGGGTAGTGAGAATCATGGATTGGAAACCGGAATACACAGGCTTGAATGTTGGTTCTGTCATTCTCTAGGCTGGTTCTGCAACTGTATTATGGTAGAATTGGGTGAGACATTTCTCTTCCTAATCTGACATTCCATGTTTCTACATTCTCTTTGATCACAGTGCATGCAAGAGATGGGGAATGGAAAAGCAAACCGACTCTATGAAGCCTATCTTCCTGAGACTTTTCGGCGTCCTCAAATAGACCCGTATCTTTTCTGGAGCAACTTAGAAGGCTAAGTGGTATTTTGATGTTTGGGGAGAATTAGACAAGACTGAAGACCTATGATCTAATTAGACCATCTCTGTATGGATTAATCTAAGCCCAGGTTTCCCTTTCTCCTGCAGCCAAGACATCAGAAAAAGTACACTTGCTGATGTTGAAATTGTCATGTAGGGCCACATGATACGAAGACTCAGGAATTATGACTGCAGTGATTTCACTGTGAATTCTTCCATAAAGTGACATCTCCATTTGTTTTTAGATCATTATTATTGTTTGATAAAAAGAATAGTTTACTGTGCTCTGTTGAACCCAGGCAGTCAGCAAACTACCATTCCTTTTTCTCAAACTACCATATCCTTTTTATGTCTGTGTGAAAGAATACTGTTGACCAGTTTGTCAGCAGTGTTCTTCCTCCATCCCCTCAACTGAGAATCCCCTGAATACAGTGATGATAAACCTTTCAGAGTTTTCAATGGTGTAAACAGCCCACTATGGCACGAGTGCCATAGCTTTCCTACCCCTGCCCCAATACCTAGAGAGGAAACCAAATCCCATAAAGAGGTTGCTTCTCAAAATGTAGTTTGTAGACCACCTTTTGTCTTTTTGGTACATGGACATTGAACCTGCTAAATTCAGTTTTGGGGCCTTGCAGAAGACCCACTTGATCAGAATCTGGCAGTGAGGCACAAGAGTTTGTATTTTTGAGGAGAATTTAGATTGCTTTGTTTGAATCCTGTTGATCTAAGGGCTTTAAAACAGATAATTGACTGCTTTACCTGTGTTCTAGAACAGACACAGATACCACTGATGTCAGTGTGCAGGTGGATCCTACTTGTTGCTGTCATCACTGTAAAGGGAAAGCATAGGAAATAAAGATTCTCTGCAGTAACCTTGAAAGAAACATTTTAAGATTTTGGGCAAGGAAACTGCATAGGAAGAGACAGGAGTCATAAGGGGAAACCAGGAAGGAAGAGAACAGTACTTTATGGAATACAAATTGACCTTTTATATTCTTACTCTTGGAAAACTTGATTAATCCTTAATGAGCTTTTTGCAGAGCTGTTGAGGGATTTATTCGAGATAAATATGAGAAGAAGAAATACATGGACCGAAGTCTGGACATCAATGCTTTTAGGGTTGGTTATAAATCTTTCAAGTTTTATTCATAATAAGTACTTTGTTTATTAGTCAGGCCAGGGAGGAATTTGAAGAACTGCTATAGAAATACTCCAGAATCATAACTTTTGAGTAAATAATGCAAAAATAGAAAAAGTTATTGAGTCAAGACCATGCAATATCCTTGAACAAACTTTTAGGGCAGGGCAAACTACCAGTGAATTTTTTGCCTGGATCTGTATGTAGATGTGACGATTCCCAGTTCCAAATTTTTTCTTGAAATGAAAATGTTGGGCATAATTGGTCAAACAGAATGGTAAGTGTTTTTATGTGTGTGTATACATATCAATAGTATGTATATATTGATATATATGTACATGTAAATTACTTTTTTCTGTAAGTAATGTAAACAGAAACAGGATTTCCTTCAGTTTGACCAATGTATACTTACACCTTTACCTGCTGATGACCAGTGTGCCAGTGGACAAATTGCCAAGGGGACCCATTCATGTTCCTGAGAAGACTTTCAGAGAGAAGGAAACTGACTACCAGTTGCAAAGGATACATTTCATCCCAAGCATGGTTAAGATCTGAAATAGAGGGCAGAGCTATGCGAAATGGGCATTAGCCAATAGGTGAATTTCAATACAGGCAAGTAAGTACCAGGTTTTACATGTACGTAGGACAAAATAATTCTTCCCCAACTGAATATGAAGAGCTATTACAGTCATCCAGAAAATAGGTTTCTCAGTTATCATAAGTCTTCCAAGAAAGAAATAGCCCAGTGTACAGCTACAGTTTGAATGGCTTTATCAAACAGGGTTTAGAGCCAGAGCACACACTTCCTTTTATTTGTAGGAAACTCTGGTCTATCTGTCAAGCTTTGTTCATTATGCCTGAAATATAAATTCAGATGAGGTCAGAAAAGAATATCTGAGGTAATCCAGAAGATGATGGTGAGGGAGCCTTGCTGCACGAAGGCAGGTGTTCATAGTTACATTGCTAGGGTACCATACCCATGAAAACAAGCCTTTTCTCTTGGTAAGGAAATACTTCCCTCCTGTCTAATGGAAAACTATATCAACGTTTTTAAATTTGATGTAGTTAGAGTTTCGTAATGCTCATATGAAGATTTTTATGCCAAGAATTAATATTTGCCAATTGAAAATTTCAAAGAAAAACCTGACTTTGTTAAAAAAATATCCTTGTTGGTTTTCATGGTGGTGCTGGAGATCAAACCCATAGCCTTGTGCTTCTAGGCACAACCCCTGAGCTACATCCCTGGCCCAAGTTACCCACTCTTTTTGTTGGTTCCAGGGATCAAATTTAGGACCTTGTGCTTGTGAGGAAGGTAGCAGCACCACTGAGCTAAATCCCCAGCCCCCAAGTACCACTTTTTAAGAGATACAAGATTTTCAACTTCAGTTTAAAGTCTTCTGTATTAAAGTGCCACATTCTGTATGAAAAAGACAAAGCTATATGTGCTGTGATTATAACATTATTTTTATAGAAAATAGGAATTTTAAAATGAAAAATCTATGCAGACTCTCACTGTCTTTAATAATGATGGATTCCCATTTTTATATAGTTACTTTTTGAGACATAATGAAAATCTAGTTATGTAGAATGTCTCCTGCTTCCATTCCACTTAGCACGTTATGCGCTGTTATATCACTTCCTAGTGAGTAGGTGTATCATAGTTTAATATTCCCTTTCTATGGGATAAAGTGTGTTTAGCCATAAATAATTCTGAGATAAATATCTTGATGTGTATAACTTTCACATTTTAGATTCTTTCCTTAAGATTAATTAAAATGCTATTATCTAAGTCAAAGGATTTTAGTATTTGTCTCTTCATACTTTTGCCAGTATATAGTCTTTCAGCATTGTATTATAATAATACTAGCTGTATTTCATCCCTACTAACATTAAGTATTGTCACTGGTATTATCTTTCTCCTACCTAAAATGCATTTAAAATTGAATTTTCAGTCACCGTGACTGAACATTTTTTCATATGCATGCTACACTTTCTTTCATGTGCCTTATTTTGTTTGGTTTGGTTTTGCGGCACTGGGAGTTGAACCCAGGCCTTTTAAAAAATTCATTTTTATTTTGAGGGAGGGTCTCATTAAGTCCCTGAGTTGCTCAGGCTGTGCTTGAACTTGCAGTCCTCTTGCCTCAGCTTCCCAGGTACTGAGATTATAGGCATGAGGCATCTATGTGCCTGCCATTTTGTGAGATGGGAGTCTCACTGTGTAGTCCAGGCTGGCCTTGAACTCATGGTGATCCCTCGGCCTCCTGAGCCTAAATTCTTAAGGTTACTTTTTCCCCCTCTGGTGCTGGGGGTAGAACACAGCAAGTGCCCTACTATTGAGCTACATCCCCATTAATCAAGGTTACTTTTTGGTTCTGTTTTCCACTTCACAGATGTTTATTTGATGTTAAAGTGTGATCAGTAACCTCATAATCTGTGGAAGCATTATGAAATTGCCTCTGAAAGTAATAAATACTGAGAGAAACTTTCTAATGTGTTTTATTCTTGAAGTGCTTTTTTTGGTTTGTACAAATGACTTGTTCAGGACACCTTTAAAAAGATACTATAATCCCTGTTTAGAATTTCCTAATTCTTTCTTGCTTTATTTCCTTAATTTTTGTTTTTCTCATCTTAAATCTTAAAAGTAAGGATTTTTCCTAAATTTTTTTTAAAAAAGAGATTAACACTAAGAGGGTTAATGATTAAATTTATAAACTCATAAGGACATAAACTGAGTAAGATGAACATGGATTTATTTACCAGATTACCGACATGAGACAAGTACCCCTCAAAGCTTGAACAAGTTAAATATGGGGCAGAAATGGGGAGCAGACCTTTTAGCCTCTATAAGATTGTAGCATCAAGGCTCATATGGAAGAAATCAACTGTTGGGCTCCATCCCAAGACACACTCTGAAGATTGTCACAGTCCTGTACCAGAGTCATTAGGAACTTTTGGATACTTGTATCTTTCAGACCTTTGGAATTAGCATTTCTTCACCTGTTAGTCACCAGGTTCATTGTCTTATTAAATCATTTCAGAAAGAAAAGGATGACCAGTGGAAAAGAGGGAGTGAGCCGGCTCCAGAGAAGAAAATGGAACCTGTTGTCTTTGAGAAAGTGAAAATGGTAAGTGGAAAAGTAATTGCCTGATGTGGATGATCTTGGGTGTGTTCAGACGCGTGGAAGGGAAAGGAGAGCACGTGGTGGGCACTAATTTGATCCCATATCGCACCGAGGTCCACAGTTCGATCAGATCGCCTGCAGCCACTTCTGCTTCTTTCCCGTCACCTGTAGCTGCCGAATTTGCGTTCTTGGGGACTAAATGGGCACCTGGGAACTGCATCTGTCCCAGCTAAACAAGTGGCACCTTCCATGCCAGAAGGAGATGGCGGTGTGACACCTCCTGAGCAGAGCCATGCCCACATTGGCTGTCTCTTGTTAGGCCTCCTGTGCCTCCTTTCCTTTTCCGGTTAAGAGGGGTCCTCATGTCAGGCCACACTAACTTCTTTTTCCATAGGGTGTGCTGTGGCTGTAGTGATACGTGCTGTAAGAGCCTGCACTCAGGGGAGTGGGTTTTTACTGTTGCTTAAGGAAGCATTTTATCGTACTGTGAATGGCATTGCCTGAGGACCCAGTTACTAGTGATAGGGGCAGAGTGAATTAGGTGATTTTTAAACTGATTTCTTTTTTCTTATCTTTCTTCTTCTCCTTCCTCCCCTCCCCTACCTTCCCCTGTCTTCTAGGGACTGAACCTAGGGCCTTTACACCGAGCTACATTCCCAGCCCCATTTTTATTTTGAGATGGGGTTTGCTAAATCACTGAGTTGCCCAGGTGGGGCTTGAACTTGCAACCCTCTAGTCTCAGCCAACAAGAATCTAGGATTATAGGCTTGCACTCCCACAGCCAGCTTCTATTTGGTGTTAAGTGTCTTCTAACACTGGAAGATGTATTGGCTCCTGACTCTTGTATCAGTCTGGAACCTTTATCCTTGATTTGTTTTGGGACAAAAAATTGCTCTTTCTGTCGAATCTCCTGCTCACTTACTAGTTTCAGAAATCTCTACCACTGTGGAAAACTAAACAGGAACAGGTTTCTGTTTCACTCATGCCTCCTCCTGGCGCTTCTTGAGTTTTGTTTCTTTGGAAACTCTCTGAGTAACAAAAACCTTACCACAAGAATACCTGTGGTTTTTACAGTGGAGAGAGGGAAAATGGTTCAAAAGCATCTGCTTATTTCTTTTTATATATTTTCACTAGCCACAGAAAAAAGAAGATCCACAGCTACCTCGGAAAAGTTCCCCGAAATCCACAGCACCAGTTATGGATTTGTTGGGCCTTGGTAAGAGTTGGACTTTTCAAATCCCATATTTTCACAAATTTTGATGAATTCTCAGTGACCCTGGGGACAGTGGTGGAAAGGGAACGCCTCTGTTTCTTCTTCACTAAGATTGTTCTCTCGTGCTCTTCCTGTTATGTTCATCTGAGTAGTTGCTCAAAGGAAGTGTTTACTGTGACATTTTTCAGAGCACCAGTACAGTGTATTGGATAAGAGCCAGAATCCCAGCTGTGCCTCTTGTTAGCTGTGCGACCTTCAGTTGTACACCTTACCTCTGAGTATTACTTCCCTAATCTAGACAGTGATGAGAGTCTCTACTTCAACGACGTTAGAAGGGTTAAGTGGAGTTACTCCTCTGAAGCTCTTAGCCCCATCTCTGGCACATACTAAGCACTCAGTAAATGTTTGTAGTTCCACTAAAGAGCACTTTTGAATCTTTTGCCACTTCCCTAGATTCTGCTTCTTACCCTCACCTCTTGATTTTTCAGGTGCAACCTTTTTTTGTGTGGGGGTGGCTTGAACCCAGGGCCTTCATCCTGAGCTACATTCTCAGCTTTTTTTCATTTTGAGAGAGGATCTTGATAAGTCAGTAAATTACCCAGGTTAGGCTGTAACTTTCAAGCCTCCTGCCTCAGCCTCCCAGAGTACTGGGATTACAGGTAGGCATGACCATAACTAGCTACATACAACCAATTTTTTTGAGATGATCTCTTACATTGTGATCATTTTTCCTTTGAAATCCTGAGCTAGTTATTTTTACCCCTTTCAGAAAGAAAGCTTTTTTCTACCTCTTAACTTCACTAATGGTTGTACTTTGTTTCAGTCCACTGTTGCTGATTTAGGTTATTGGCTATCTAGGCTTCTAGTTTCTATACTTTTCTACATTCCTTGCCCTTTATATAGCCAAAAGGAATCCGGCCAGCCCTTCAGCTGTGTTGTTGAGGTAGCTCAGACCTGGGTTTCTCCTGCTTTGTGCTTGTTAGCTGGGCTGTAGGCTACCCCAGAGGGCCACTGGGAATGTGGGGTGAGGCCTCTTACAAGAAGCTCTATCCCAGCTAAGTAGCTGCTGATGACTGGGTTTCCATGTCCTACCGGACATACAGGCCTTCTCTATCCCCTCTTTGTCTATCATAGAAGGAAGATACGGTCTTAATAAGCAGTGCTACGTTTTTACTTCCATCTCTCTTTCTAGATGCTCCAGTGGCCTGCTGTATGACAAATAGTAAGACCAGCAATACCCTAGAGAAGGATTTAGATCTTTTGGCCTCTGTTCCATCCCCATCTTCAGTTTCCAGAAAGGTGAGTCTTTGGAGTCTCTCAGGATTAAAGAGCATTGTAGAAAGGGAGATAACTTAATCATGAAACCAGGTTATGTTTTCTTGGTGATTTTCTTGATACTGTGTCATCTCTGTCACAACCTTAGATTACTGTCCATTCTTTTTTTTTTCTTCTTGAGACGGGGTCTTATTAAGTTACCCAGGCTGGGCTCAGACTTATGATCTGCCTGCCTCAGCTTCCCAGAGTGGTGGGATTACAGGTCGCAAGCTTGGCTATTCATACCATTTTGTCTCCTGCCCCAAAAGGGTAGCCCTTTGAGTGGTCATCTGACGAAGATGTGTCCTATTGTCAAGCCCATACTTTTAAGTCAGCTTCTCAGCCTGCGTTCCTGTTAGGGTATTGTCAGTATGAAAGACTTGAAACTTTATTTTGTTTTGGTTTGTGTTTTTTTTTTGTTTGTTTGTTTTTTGAGACAGGGTCTCACTGTGTAGTTGAGTCTGACCTGGAACTCACTATGTAGCCCAGGCTGGTCTCGAACTCACAGTAATCCTTCTGCCTCAGCCTCCCGAATGCTGGGATTACAGGTGTGCACCACCACGCCCGGCTGACGTGAAACTTTAATGGCTACCATTTGTGTAATGCCTTCTGTGTACTAGGAACAGTGCCAGATGTTTGCTGAGCTATATCCTTAACACTTCTTGAAATTTTACTTGGAGACCGGGTCTCGCTAAGTTGCCTAGGCTGCCTCAAACTTTTGATCCTCCTGCTGCAGACTCCTGAGTAGCTAAGATTATAGGCTCACATTACCACATCAAGCCATTTTGAATGTTTCATTAATAATTTCAAGTATTCATCAGAGCTCCACAAAATGGGCATTCTATACAGATGAGGAAACATTAGTTCAGAAAAATTACGTGATTGCCTCTGATTGTACACCTGGTAAATGGCCACCACTAGCATCTAACCTTGGTTCTCTCTGCTATGTCATTATTTAAAAACCAAATTGTATTCTTTTGCTGAAGAACAAAGAATTGTACCAGAGCTTATCGATAAGGTACTTTCAGCCATTTGTATGGTAAAGATGTCAAGAAAGTATTAATTTGACATTAGCCATGACTTCATATTGCAGATGTTAAAAGCAGCAAAAGGTGAGGGAACTCTTTATTTTTATTTCTTTAATAGGAAAAATCTTTAATTAGAAAGCAAGCAAATATAGGAAGGGACTTTAGCCTGAGAAGCTGACAAAGATCGGGCTGGCCCTTCACAAGGGGGAATAAGAAAAACAGAGAAGGACTTCAGCTTGAGCAGCTGGAGGGGGCGCCCTGTGATAAAGGGGATCTGACTGGCCTGTGAGGAAATTCGCAGACCTCCACGATGACCATCCCAACTCTCTTCCTACCCTCTGTGCCCCAAGGTTGTAGGTTCCATGCCAACTGCAGGGAGCGCTGGCTCTGTTCCTGAAAACCTGAATCTGTTTCCGGAGCCAGGGAGCAAATCAGAGGAAGTAGGCAAGAAGCAACTCTCTAAAGACTCCATCCTTTCGCTGTATGGATCACAGACGCCTCAGATGCCTGCCCAAGGTAGAGTCCATGGAGCCATGGTATGTGGCAGGGAGAGACAGGAGGACTACATGAAAGAACCATTTGTCGTGACGGGACAGTTACTTTGGGGGCAGGGAGACTGTACACCAGAGAAGCCTGAACTGGCATCACTGGTGGCGTCACAATGTATCAGCAGACAGATGTTAATGTGACCCACAGCCACACTTCCGTGAAATCTGTCTCGAAGTCTGGATTTTCCCTGACAGGGAAGTGGCAGATGCCTCGCAGGTAAGCCACTGCAAGTCTTGTAGAGAATCTCTCTGGCTGCTTTGCAGTGTAAAGCAGCATTCAGAGTTGAGTAATTTTGAGAAATTCTAATTAGAGAGGAGTAGCCAGCGAACATGGCTGACTTTGTGCCCTTTCCTCTTTAACAGACCGATACCTGTGTTTTCTCGGCAGCAATGTTCATGGCTCCTGCTCAGATGGCATATCCCACAGCCTACCCCAGCTTCCCTGGGGTAACTCCTCCTAACAACATCATGGGGAGCATGATGCCTCCACCAGTAGGCATGGTAGCCCAGCCGGGAGCCTCTGGAATGGTTGCCCCCATGGCCATGCCTGCAGGTTATATGGGTGGCATGCAGGCGTCAATGATGGGTGTGCCAAATGGGATGATGGCCACCCAGCAGCCTGGCTACATGGCAGGCATGGCAGCTATGCCCCAGACGATGTATGGGGTTCAGCCAGCTCAGCAGCTGCAGTGGAACCTTACCCAGGTAAGCAACCTCATTCTACCTGGGATACTACTTTGCCCCTTCCCCAAATCTCATTTTGTGATTCTCCCTTATCCTGTGAATTCTTTCCATGTAGATGAGATAATCCCAGAGACATTCCTAGGTTGGTTTGTTTTTCCTAGAAGGCCTATCTAATGGAAGACTGTCTAAGCAGTTCTGAGTACCTGTACAGTAGGGGTAATTGCCTAAATCTGAATCGCTCCATATCTTCTCTAAAAGACAAACAAAATATCCCAGAAAAACATATGTGTAGACAAACAAGAAATTTCAATAAAACCAGCATAACTCACTGCCAACACTATAAAATCCGAAAATGGCATGGCATTAGGTATAGAAAAACCCAGATCCAGTAGACCCAGTGCATTAGTTACTTTTCCATCCCTGGGACAAAATACCCAACACCTGCAGTTTAAAGGAAGAGAGGTCTGTTTTGGCTCATGGTTTTAGGGGATTAAGTCTATAGTCATGTTGCTCCAAGGTAGAAATGCCATACTGGTAGGGCCTGATCAGAGGTCAGTGGCTTCATCTCATGGCAGCCTGGAAGCAGAGAGAGAATGTGGGAGCCAGGAACAAGAGTACATTTTCCAGGACACATCCCCAGGGACCGATCTCCAACCAGGTCCTACCTCCTAACAGCACATTCAGCCTCTGAACTCATCTGTGGATGAATCCAGGCACCCTCCAAACACAGCCAGCAGCCTAGAGGAGTCTATGCAAAGAAGGGAGGGAGCAGGGCTCTAGAGATGATAAAGTCATGGCCCACAAGGAGGAAGGCCTACCCTCATGGAGACATACTGAAAACAGGTCTGAGACTTGGGGGATCAAAAATAAGAGACCAGCTGGGTGTGGTGACGCACGCCTGTAATCCCAGCACTCAGGAGGCTGAGGCAGGAGGATCAATGGGAGTTCAAGGTCAGCCTGGGGTACATAGTTCAGAGCCAGCCTGAATTACAAAGGGAGACCCTGCCTCAGAGAGAGAGAGAGAGAGAGAGAGAGAGAGAGAGAGAGAGGAGAGAAAGAGTCAGAGACAGACTAGAAATACATAGTTTTATAGGTGATAGTTTTGGAAAAGCATTGCGTGTTGGGAGATAAGTATGATGTACAAGGAGGAGGGATCCTTTGGAGATGTGATAGAGAAGGGAAACAAACGAGAAGTGGGAGTCTCAAAATAAGAGGTTAGGCTGGATGTGGTGTAAATATGTAATCCCAGCACTTGGAAGGCTGAGGCAGGAAGATTGCTTTGATTTTAAGGCCAGCCTGAATCATATAATGAAGCCCTGTCTCAAAATCAAACACTTAGAAGTTACATTACCCTTCTTCCCCCAAATAATCATTTCACTAACAGGAGAGGGTGCTCTTGAACTCAGAAATCTAATAAGCCTTGCCCAGCCCTCATACCTGTCTGCATTACTGCTGATTCAGAAAAATAAAGCACTATAAAATAAGTAGAACGTGGCTGATGGCATTTATACAAAACTATTATGAGAAGGAAATAGAAAAATGATCAAACATTTCAGGTAGCCAGGTGCAGGGATACACAGCTGTAATTGCAGCTACATGGGAGCCTGAGACAGGAAGATCATCAGATGCTTGCGGTCAGCTGGGGTAACTTAGTGATACCCTGTCTCAAAATAAAGAATGCAAAGGGGTGGGATATGACTTTAAATTATACTACAAAGCTACGGTGATTAAAAAAACACAAACAAAATAGCATGGTACTGGCAAAAGAACAGACCTGAGGATCAGTGGAACAGACTAGAGGATGCAGAAACAACTCCACACATGCTCAACCACCTTATCTTTGACAGAGGAGCCAAACACCTTCACTGGAAGACAGACAGCCTCTTTTATAAATGGTTCTTGAAAAACTGGCTTTCCATATGCTGAAGATTGAAACTAGACCCATGTCTTTCACCATGCACTAATCTAAAATCAAAATGGATCAAAGATCTAAATATTAAAACAAACACTAGGGCCAGGGATTTAGCTCGCTCAACAGCACAGTGCCTGCCTAGCAAGCATGAAGTCCTGAGTTCTATCCCTGGTACTGGAAAAACAAAACAAAAAGCAGAAATACTCACTCTGCTGGAAGAGAGAATAGGTAGAATGCTTGAGGACATTAAAGTAGGCAGTGACTTCATGAATGAAACCCAGTCTGCACAGAAAATACTACAAAGAATCAACAACTGGGGCCTTATCTTATTAAAAAGCTTTTGTACGCAAGAGAAACCACCAACAGAGTGAAGAAACACCCCAAAGAGTGGGAAAAAATTTTTACTAGCTATTCAGATAAAGTACTATCATTTAGAATATATAATGAACTAAAAAAAAATCAGACCACCCCACATTTAAAGACCCAATCCAAAAATGGGCATCTGAAATAAAAAGACACTTCTCAGACAAAGAATTAGAAACAGCAAATAAATATATGAAAAAAAATTTCAACATTATTGGTCATTCGTGAAATGCAAATTAAAACAATGCTGAGATTCCATCTCACACCGGAAGGAATGGCTGCTACCAAGAAATCAACCAATAACATGCTGGAGGGGCTGTGGGGAAAAAGGAATCCTTCACTGCTGGTGGGAGAGTAGACTGGTGCAATCAGCATGGAAATTTCTGAAAGAACTAAAGCTAGAGGTTCTGTTTGATCCAGCTGTACCTCTTCGTGGTATCACCCTGAAAAGCATCATGCCATAGTGATACGTGCACACCCATGTTTAAAGCGGCACCGCTTGTAATAGCTAAATCTTGGAAACAGCCCAAGTGCCCATAAACTGAGGAGTGGATAAAGAAGTTACGGTTTTTAAAAAAACAATGGAGTATTATTCTGCCGTAAAGAAGGATAAGGTTCAGATATTTATAACTAAATGGATGGACCTTGAGACCATACTCTTACATGAGATAAATCAGACCCCACATGTCTAAATACCACATGGTTTCATTGGTGTGAGAAACCGAAAGTGGAAATAAGGACTGAGATGTACAATGAACATTGGGAAGTGGGATGAAGGTGTTTCAGTGGGCAGGGAGCAGGGAGGAGAAAAGAACACAAGGAGAAGAAAAAAAGTGAAAATGGAAACAAAGCTTTTATACCTGGGGGAGGAGGGCTTGGAGGGGGGAATGAGATAAAATAAAATTTGTTAAATAAAAACAAAACAAGTTTTTCTGCTGGGGTAGCCCGCCCTCCTGAGATCACACCCCTCCTCTATAGCTATAACTTTTTGTTCTGGTACAGATAAAATTGGCCACTATGTTCTGCAGTCAAGTTTATGTCATCTTGTGCTCACCTGATTGACAAGGCTTTCTCTGCTTTCAAGGCTAAATTTATTTATTTATTTTTGGTACTGGGGATCGAACTGAGGACCTTGCACTTTCGAGGCAGGCAGTAGAACCGCTGAGCTAAATCCCCGGCCCTCAAGGCTAAATTTTTTTTTTCTTTTTTGTTGAGTCTATTGGTACAATCTAGGTCTACAATACAGTTACATTCATTACTGGGATCCTGTACCTTCACATGACAGGTCTTGGTTCTCATTTTTTCCCCTTGTCCCTGCCCTCCCTTCACCCCCCCCTCCCCTTCTCATTAACAAATCTTTATTTCCATTTTTTCATATTTTTTCTTTTCCCTTATTTCCTTGCTCCTACCCTTCCCCCTTTCCCCTTAAGGCTAAATTTAAAGACTACCCTTGTACTGATTCTGTAAACTCCCTTGTTATGTCATTAGAAAGACCAACCCCTTTGACCAAATTATAAAACTGGACGCTTTCCTTTTTTCCTCTGCGTTTCCTTTGGGCATTAGTCTGTTGAGCTGTTGTTTACCTAGACCTAGAATAAAGTCCTTTTATCCCCACCGCAAAAAAGGGGTGGGTGGGAAATAACCCAGTGGTAGAGCACTTGGGTAGCATGTGCAAAGCCCTGACTTAAATTCCTATCACTGAAAAAGAAAAGATTTCAGGTAATAAAAATGCTTTTTCAAAAAAATTTTTTTAAATGTCATGAAGTGGAACAAAACTGTTGCGTGCCCACCAACTTGAATAAAACAGTATTAAACATCTGGTAGAACTTCTGTAAAAGGAAAGGGGACCAAGAGATGGAGGGAAGGGGGAGGGAGTGAAGGGGAAGGAGGTTAAAAAAGGAATGGAGATTTGCTATGTGCACCTACTAACTCCACAGTGATTTAATCATCACGTACTACAAACGTACTAACAGAAAATCAGCAGATAAGACAAAACAGGTTGAGTCAGGAATTCAAACACTCAGAACTAAAATGGACACAAAACTAGAAGTTAAGAAAGTTTACTGAAGTCAGAAAACCAAGACAAAATCATATTAAAAATAAATACTGATATACAAGTAACCCAAAGAGAGCAGATTCACCGGAAAATACAGACATATGTCATTGAGAAAAGACATAAAACAGCTAAGAGAATGAAAATTAAATATAGATAGGAGTAATACAGAAAGTAGGCAGGGAAAGCCTACCATACATATATTTGGAGGTACCCAAAGAATAAACACAAAAGAGTGGGGCGGGATGTACTTCTAACTGTAAGTCAAGGAAACTATCTTGAAATAAGATTTAGCTATAATATTTAAAGAGCTCACTGTGATTCTTGGAAAACTGACCCAGAACAGCCCATTCTAAAACATCCTAGTAGGGCCGGGGGTGGTGGCGCTCGCCTGTAATCCCAGTACTCGCGAGGCTGAGGCAGGAGAATCGCTGTGAGTTCGAGAACAGCCTGGGCTACATAGTGAGACCCTGTCTCAAAAAACAAAACAAAACAAAACAAAACAAAAAAATAAACAAAACATCCCAGTAAACCTTTAGACTTTAGAAAATAAGAACAGTCCTCAGGGCTTCAGCTTCTTAGTGTTTCCCCCCTCACCCTACAAAAATATGTCACCAAAGCAGAACAAAACACCCACATTGACAGCAGACTTCCTAATAGCAATGTGGGACAACAGTGAGACATTCAAGCATGTGCGAGTATTTTATAGCCTGTCAAACTATCCTTATATGGAGGCTATAAAAATAATGACCTTGGACATGAAAATTGAGGAAATGTCATGCGTACTAGCCTTTCCCAAGCAACCCGATAGAAGATAAGCTTTATTCACCCACCAGGTGACGGTGGGTGTTGGTGGAAGGGCTGATAGTGAGCACTGAGTATTTGAGAATCTAAGACGAAAACAGAACGACGAGGGTAGAAGAGTACATGTTGTATTCTGACATAATAATACAACTAAAATTAATGGGAAAGGGAGAAAAAAGGAAAGTGTAAGTCAGTAGGTAGAAGTCAAAGGATATATATAATAAGCTCTCAAGCCAAATCATAGATGTCTTAGTCATGGAAGAGGAGGCCAGGACATTGTAAACAGTGTTAATATAAAGATAATCACCACCAAAAATGGAAAATTTTCTAAGTACTAGAAGAATTTTTCAAAACAGAAAATAGAATCCATAAATTACAAGCTGTGGCAAATACAATGAACGCAATAAAATATAATATGACACAATTGAAACCAAATATTCATATCAATAGGCAACTCCTCTGTTAGGAGAAAGAGATGTTCAAGTTGGTTCACAGAGCAACGGCTAACTGGATGTTTATGCAAAGAAGTAGAGTTGAAGCAAAGTCATTCAGAGTGAAAAATGAAGAGATGGCTAAAAGAATACTAGAGAAGTGCTCATATACACTCCATCAGAGTCAGTATGAGCGTCGTCCTTGGTTTATAAAAACTGATTTTATTTGGTTTTGGTTTTTGAGACAGTATGGTTGTGTTGGTCAGGTTGGCCTCAGACTCCTGGGCTCCAGTGATCCTTCTTCCTCGGGCTCCTGAGTATCTGGGACTTGAGGCGGTTGCCACCATGCTAACCTTATAAAAAGTTTTTGTTGTTGTTTTATTTTGTGTTTTTGCCATCCCAAAGAGGCTTTATTAGCACTCTTGCTGCAGAATAAGGGGAAACAGTGCATGAACTAACCCCACAAAAATATTTTTTGTGTTTCTGTTTTCTGTAGTCTGGAGTAATTTATTGGTCTTTGAAGTTTAGCAGAATTCCCATGTGAAATTGTGTGGCCCTGTTTTGTTGTGTAGTAATTCCTCAATAGTTTTTTTCTTTCTCTTCCATGGAAGTCACTTTTGGAAAATGGTATTTACTTAGATTATCCATTTTATTAAAGTTTTCAAGTTTATTTATCAAAAGTTAGGCCAATTAGTCTTGTTACTTTTTTTAAGGTTCTGGGATTTTGATCTGTTTATCATTATATTTTTCTGTTTCTACCTGAAATTTTGGTTTATTTTTACTGATTGCTTCCGTGTGCTTCTTTCAGTTTATTATTCTTTTTCTAGCTTTCATAGTTGGGATTTTAATTCGCTTATTTTCATTCTTTGATTTTTATTTATGTAAAGAGGACATGCTATGAAACTGATGGGAACATGGTCTAAAGGACACATGAGCCCGTTTCTAGAGGCTCCCACTGGCCAAATGGATACACTTTGAACATCAGAAAGAAGAGTCGTGGTAATGGATTCTAATACACTGAATTAAAGAAAACACTAAGAATCCAAAGTAATATTAAGCGGAAAAAGGGAGGGTTGGAATAGAGGAAGGGAAAGCCTTCTTTACAAAAGAATAATAGCTAATAATTGTAGAAAGAACAGGGTATTTCGTACACACTCAGATTACTTACAGTTTTGAAAATATAGAAACTTTAGCCGAGGACAAATTAATATCATGTGCTTCTTGATATCCTATCCTGAGAAAGATACAATATCACCGCCGGGCGTGGTGGCGCACACCTGTAATCCCAGCACTCAGGAGGCTGAGGCAGGTGGATCCCTGTGAGTTCAAGACCAGCCTGGGCTACATAGTGAGTTCCAGGTCAGTCTCAACTACACAGTGAGACCCTGTCTCAAAAAAACAAAACAAACAAACCAAAAAAGATACAAAATCACCTATCTAAAATTCTTACCAAAAATGTGTAACTTGGATCCAGTGTTGAGAAAACATGAAGTAAACACAAATCCAGAGATTTTCTGCAATGTAACTGGTCTGGAGTCTTTAAATGGGTCAGTGTCGGGGGAAAGAGGAAGAGTGGCAGGGGAACTGTTAAAAGAGACTAAGATGAAAAGGAAATGTATTCTGTATTAGAATATTGTATTAATATTTCTCTAGGGCAGTGATGGCAAACCTCTTAGAGACAAGTGCCCAGTCTGCAACCTAAAACTCATGTATTATAAGGTACCAACACTGCAGTTAAACCTGATGCTGAAGTTTTAATTTAGAAAAACAACTCATACATAAACATCCTTTGTCTTAAAAACGAGTAACATGCGTCCATAGGTTTGCTACCATCACTTAGGGTATCAGTCATATTGTGGTTCTAGAAAAGTATTTGTTCTTCAGGGTACCTCCTGACTTGTCAAGGCATCTAATGTCATGATGTCTGCAATTTGTGTGTGTGTGTGTGTGTGTGTGTGTGGTACCCGGGATCTAACTCGGGCCCTTGTGCTTGCAAGGTAGGCAGTGGAACCACTGAGCGAAATCCCCAGCCCTGCAATTTTTGAGTTATCAAAATTGTAAACTTTATAAATGGGAGAGAATACGGAAAAATGTTAATAACTGGTGGGTTAAGGGAAAGATTTATGGCTTTCATTATACTCTTCTTACAACTTTTCTGTAAGTTTGAATTTTTTTTAAGTTGGTGGTAGAAAGTAGACCTTCTGTAAAGAATATTTCTATGCTCAAAATGTACTATACTGAGGCATTTTTCTTTGACAAATTGTTTCTTCCATTGATGGCAAGGATCCTGTCGTTTGATCTAATCAGGAAGAGGCTAGGCTACATCACACTGACTCTCCTCTCAGCCCCTCCTTTTCTTATACTGGGATACATTTATTCTCCTCCCATTTCCCCTGTTGAGATTTAGAATCATAGTTGAGTTGCTTTTTCTCTTTCCTTCTGCAAATGAAACAGCCTGGTGTGGAATGACTGCCCTCTGCTGGAGAAGAGACGCACTGGCGTGGGGACTTGGCTTTGGACCTCAGAGTTGGCTGTGGCAGTTAAGAAAAGGCCTAAGGATGGATAGGATGAGGGGCTGGAAAGAAAGAAGAGAAGACTTCTCATGCTGCTTTCCTGCTGCCAGGGCCCAGGACGCCTTCCTTCCCGCCCTTTGTTCTCTGGCAGCATCGCCCTACTCCAGAGTCTCACTCGCAGTCTTGTGTGCTTGCAGTGCTCTGGCAAGGTGCAGGGCCATCGTGCACCATGACAGTTTCCCAGCCTCTTGCACTGACTGGCTAGATGCCCACAGCCCCGTCTAAACTCTCCTCTCTCCCTTCCAGATGACCCAGCAGATGGCTGGGATGAACTTCTATGGAGCCAATGGCGTGATGAATTACGGACAGTCAATGGGCGGCGGAAACGGACAGGCAGCGAGTCAGACTCTCAGTCCTCAGATGTGGAAATAAACGAGACAGCTGTGTGGCCGCCAGTCTCTTCCTCCCCCACGCTCCCCCTTTATCTCTTTTCCCCACCTCCCTCATCTACTCTCCTACTCTTTTCCTACCTCTCTGTTTGGTTTAGAAATTGCTCAATAAGTCATTTGGGGTTTGGCATCCTGCCCGACCCAGCCATTTCCCAAACACGCAGACCTCTCTGTTGCTTTATGTTGTTCATGTCTGAAGCCATCCCGACACCTCCCCAGCCACAGCCCTTATTCTATCCTGCACCAGCACCTTAGAAGTGGTTGGCAGAAGGCACTTAAACTGCAGGGAAAATGTGCACATCTTTCAGTATCCTCCCTTAAAGCCAGACCCCCGTCAGGCCCTCACGAAGGTCTGGAGGTGTTGTGCGTGAGGCAGAGAAGAGGGAGAGCAGAGGTCCTTCACTACGCGTTAATGAGCTTGTTTCCAAGTGTTTAAACTTTGGACTGGAGAAGAAGGCATCCTGTTCTATGATGTATAGGATCAATCAACTGCAGTCACATTAAACACATCTCGGGTCTTGGATCGGGTTGACCCTAGCCTTGGGGTGAAGCAAGCCCTTCCTTGTGAAGATGAGCAAATTTACTACTCCTCTTTCCTCTGAGTTACTTCCCGGGCCTGGGGCTTCAGCGCTCACTGCTTCAGTCACCTTTATTAGCACCAAAGACTCTGAAGGTCCCACACAAACACACACCCCGCGCCTGCCTCCTGCCCGCCTTCAGCAGGATCCAGCCCCTTGGCGGGATACAGAGCTTCGCGTGTGCACTGCTTGTGTGCGTGTGCGTGTGGATCCGCGTTCCACCCTCTCCCCATCTGCTCTGGTGTTTATGTTTTAGGGTTACAACAGAGAGGAGTTAATTTATCGACAGCTAAAAGAAATTGTCAGTTTTTCTTACAGCTTAAACAAATTGCTATCTCACTGATAGCTCCCTGTCTCCTGCCCTTCCCCCCCGCCAGTCAATTCTTTCGTGTGCTTGGACCCAGGTGCTCCGTTGCCCACCTTTCCCAGGTGATGCAGAGAGCCGGGCAGCTTCCCTCTCAGCCATTGTTCATTCCACCTGAAAACTCAAACAAGAAAACTTTGCTTAAAAGATTTCGTGTGTGGGAACCGCACAACGCCCGGTTGCCTTTCTCCTGTGTATGTATAAATTCCTCAATAAAATTGCAGGGAAGGACCATTTTATTGGCTGGCTGTTTCTGTGTGCCTTTCTTGGAGGAGGGAGACATACATACAGATTTTCTGCCTTGTAGGACAGTACCTTTTTTCTTTTTAAGGGTCTTGCTAAGTTGCTCTGATGAAGACAACTTCTGTAAATAGTTCAAAACCTACAAAATGCTAATGAAATACAGAATAACCGCTGTCATTCGCCTCTGTAATTTGCTTTGCTTTGCTTTTTTCTTGGGACAACAATACCAGAGGTTTCATCATGAACTACAAAGCTTGAAGGCCCACAGCCCCAGTTTAAAATGCTATAAGATTACCAGATGCCAGAGGTGCTTAGCTGCATCCCCAGGGTGAGACCAGATTTCAAACTAAGATAACAGTCACCAGACCTTACAAGCAAAGTACACTTAGACCCTAAACTCCAAGCTTTCTGTAAATCATACGACTATAAAAGAGTTAAGATAAAAAAAAAAAATGTCACCAGAGGTTATCATGAACTACAAAGCTTGAAGGCCCACAGCCCCAGTTTAAAATGCTATAAGATTACTAGATGCCAGAGGTGCTTAGCTGCATCCCCAGGGTGAGACCAGATTTCAAACTAAGATAACAGTCACCAGACACTACAAGCAAAGTACACTTAGACCCTAAACTCCAAGCTTTCTGTAAATCATACGACTATAAAAGAGTTAAGATAAAAAAAAAAATGTCACCAGTCCTGCTTTCCTAACCCTGACCCCTACTCTTGTCAGCTAGAATAGCTAACTAGGCAAATCCTAAAGATAAACATCCTAACCACAAAGAAGATGCTTCATTTGGGTTAAAATTAAACTGTGACCGTGATTGTACATCTGTGATGGGAAACTGAGAGAACTGGAATGTCTTATCGAACTACCTAAAACGAGGTCATGATTGTGAAACTTCTCTAAAAGACAGACTGTAACCCCGCCCGGGGTCCAGTCATATGGGACAGCACTTGGTGCAGGCCAACCCTTTGCTAGCGAAGTAAACGTTTTCATTTGACCCACTTTTGCATCTCTGTGTCACTTACCAGTTCCTTCTGCAACAGCTCAATTTCTCAGGCTGCACTTGATCCTCCTGACTCGGCCTCCCAAAGTGCTGAGATTACAGATGTGCACTACAGTGTCCAAGCCTTACTTGTAATTTTAAAAATTCTGTTCTTCGTATACCAGGGGCCAGGCCCAAGCCTGAATGTTCAGAAAGGGGCCGGCTCTCCTGGTGTGTCCAGAATTGAGAGGTGAGGGACCTGGAGCTCTGAACCTGTGAGGGCTATAGAACCTCAGGATTTTCTCTGTACCTTGGTAATTTAAACTCTTCTCTGCCAAGACAGGAGCTTTGGTGAAAGTAATTCACCCCTGCATAAGCTGTCAGACGAGGGGGACCTGCCTCAGCCTCTTGAGTGCTGGGATTACAGATGTGCACCACCATGCCCAGCCAAGAGTAAAATTTTGAAAACTACAGAAAAATAGAACAGGTAGACTTAAAAGTATGCTATAGTCCAAACATACCTAAATATAAAAGTACAATAAATACGGTTTAAAAAATGAGTGTCAGAGTGACCTGTAAAACCCATTCCTCCTGGTATCTCAGATCTTCCTTCTAATATCACTTTCCTCCAGCTGAAGTACCATTCGTCCTTTGAAAGTGAAGGTCTCTTTGAATTCTTGTCTGAAGCTCAAGAGTAGGAAAATGCTTAAAATAATGAAACAAGCAAGATCAGGAAAATACTGAAGTATGCAGGGATCATTTCCAGATTTTCATTATCATTTATATTTACAAAATTGACTTTCAGACCAAAAGCATTAATAGAAAGAGTATCGTGGGTTAAAGTCTCAATTCATAGGGAAAATACGTAAATTCTAAACAAGTGTGCACCCCCGCCCCATACTGGGGACGAGTATGCATTTTTAAAGCCTCAAATGAAGCAAAAATCTTATAAAACTTCATGGATGCCTCATCAGTGCATCAGTGTATAAAAGAATTCTGCACACGACTTTAGGGCATGTGTGGACAAGCTGTCCTAAAATACATGTGGAAATGTGAAGGATCGAAAATGATCATAACAATTTTGGAAAAAAAGACACACTACCAGATTTTAAGATTTATTATGAAACCCAAGTAATTAATACTAGAATTACTACAAGAAGACCTATAAGGCACTGGATTAGAAAACAGAACTCAAGAAGGGTCCGTGCCCTGTGGTGCTGGAGATCAATCCCAAAACCTCATGCATCGGTCAAGCACTCTACCAATGAGCTATATCCCAGTCTCCTATGTGCATATTGATTCATGAAGGTAGCAATGCAAACAGTAAGTTGAAACTCACTCCCTCCCTCTCTCTCTCTCTCTCTCTCTCTCTCTTCACCAATCATTGATTTGCCTAGGGTAGGCCCAATCTCATGATCCTCCTGCCTCAGCCTTCAGGGCAGCTCCAATAATAGATGGTGCACCACAACCTCAGCGTGAGTGGACCTTTGAGCAACAGAATACAGCAGCTATGGCAGTGCACAGCCCCTGAGGCCAGACTGTAAAAGGACAATATGACTTTTTCCGGCCTCTGTCTTAGGTCCCTTGCCCTTTCAGCCTCGTCACCAAACTAGAGGCAGAGGTCACCTTTGGTGTTCCGGCCAACAGCCCCAGCAAAGCCCAGATGATAGTGACTGTGCTTTCAGACGATTCTAGCCCTTAGCTTCAAGTCTTCCAAGTGGGCCTCTGGCATCATGGAGCAGATATGTGATCTGCACCATGCCTAGTTTAATTCTTGACCCAATGAAACTGTAAACAATGGACAACCTACAACATAATCTATGAAGAGTCCTGTCATGCCAATGAATTACTTGAGGCATGTTAGGATAACTATTAGGAACAAGATGGACATGGTAGCACACACCTGTAATCCCAGTACTTAGGAGGCTGGCGCAGGAGGACCACCGTGAATCTGACGCCAGCCTGTGGTACATAGTTTAATCCCAGCCTAAATGACAGACCAAGACTCTGTCTCTGGAAAAAAAAAAGAAAAAGAAATGGGGAGAAAAAAGTTAAGAACAAGTTACTGAATTGTTTAGCCCTCTCTATTAAAAAAAAAAAAATACAGGCTGGCTGTGGTGGTGCATGCCTGTAATCCCAGCACTCAGGAGGCTGAGGCAGGAGGACTGCCATGAGTTAGAGTCCTCCCTGGGCTACATAGTGAGCTCAAGGCCAGCTCGAACTACATAGCAAGACCCCATTTGAAAAAAGTTTTAAAAACGAAGTGAAGCATATTATTTCTTGGTGAGTCATGGTGAGTACTTGTTGAGTCTCTGGGTTTGTTTCACGTATGTGTCATATTTGAGTGTGTTGGCTTAACCAGTTGTGGGGTGTCCTGAAAAGCCGACTATTTTTAGTGGGTCCCAGAATGATGGAAGACTCTTCTTGTTCAGGCTATAGGCTGCTATGCCCACAGCCCTTAAGCTTCAACAGATCAGTAGCAGATCTACGCACTGTGTGGAGATTCTGACAAACCTCAAGCAAAGTATCATAAAAGAGGAGCTATGGTTTTTGAAGTGTTGCCTTCTTTGGCAAGTCACTGCTTCCCCCTTGGCCTAGTGGGGTTGAACCCCAGATCATAAGAACATTGGTGCCCAGCAACCAGAACTTTCCATCATGAACTGTGTGGTGGTCTGCCTGGTCCATGTCCTTAGGAACCCACTGTATCTGTGCTATAGAAGTGTCCCCCAAAGGCCCATATGTTAGAGGATTGGTCCTTAGAGTGACTCTCCTGGAGTTGGTGGAATCTTTAATGGAGGGCCTACTGGGAGGTCATTGGGGTGTGCCCTTGATAGTGGAACCTCAGCCCCTTCCTTCTAACCATGGACTAGGTCCCTAAAACTGTGAGCCAAAATAAACCTACCCTCTTTATAAATTGACCTTTTTAGGTATTTGTTATAGCGATGAAAATCTGACCCTAACCCTATCTTTAGATCTTTTGTCTTAGGCTGACAGGAGTCCCCAGATTTGGAGTTCCTCCAGATTTGCTGCCCAGAGAGTATAGGCTGATATACCAGACAGGAGCATTCTGGGTAGGTTAAGAGTCTCAAATTCAGTGTGTAAATTTTCATTTAGCCTCACCTCATTGGTCCTCTGTATTCAGCATCGTACTCTGTGTTCCGCTGTGCCTGTGTCTTTCTGTTCCAAGACCCCTCTGAGACTTTTCCTCCACTTCCATTTTCAGTGATACTGCAGGCAACCAGTCACTTTGCTTTTTGGGATTCTGCAAAGGAATTTGGGTTGTTTCTGGGCCTTTCCTACTGCTTATGTGTGGTACAGGCTTTTCAGGACTCGAGTCTGTGGCCCGTCATCCACCTATTTTCCAATTTCCAAGATGTTGTTTTTCTCCCGTTCAGATTGTCCCTGTGGATTTATGGCTGTGGATAAAGACCCTGGACAATTGTTCCAGAGAAAATAAGGGAAGGGAGAGGACCTTCTGTTTACCTTCGTGTGTTAGTGAAGGTTGTGCTTGGGAAGATAAGAAACTGCAGCAGTCTGTATTTTTTTATGTCGAGTAGGAAGATGATCTGTAAAACAAATGAATTCACTAGAAGCAGCAGTTCAGAACCAGGGGTGACTGTGACTCTGAAAAGACAATTTTAACCATTATGGTTTTTCCTTTTACCTATTTAATTGAAGTGTATCCTACATATAGGAAAATATACAAATTGATAATTGTTTATGTGCTTATTTTTAATGCGTGATAGAAGCAATATAACTGGT